CCTGGGTTCAAGTGATTCTCCTGCCTCAGACTCCTGAGTAGCTGGGACTACAGGCGTGTGCCACCATGCCCTGCTAACTAACTTTTTTGTATTTTTAGTAGAGACGAGTTTTCACCATGTTAGCCAGAATGGTCTTATTCTCCTGACCTTGCGATCTGCCCACCTTGGCCTTACAAAGTGCTGGGATTACAGGTGTGAACCACTGTGCCTGGCTGTTTCCTGACTTTTTAATAATCATGATTTTGGCTTGCGTTGAGTTGGTATTTCATTGTAGTTTTGATTTGTACTTCTCTAATGGTCAGCGATGATGAGCTTTTTTTCATATGTTGGCTACATGAATGTATTATGAGAAGTGTTCATGTCCTTTGCCCACTTCTTAATGGGGTTGTTTTTTTCTTGTATGTTTAAGTTCCTTGTAGACTCTGGATATTGGATTTTGTCAGATGGATAGATTGTGAAAATTTTCTTAAAGGTTGTCTGTTTACTCTCATAGTTTTTTGCTCTGCAGAAGCTCTTTAGTTTAATTAGATCCCATTTGTCATTTTTTGCTTTTGTTGCGATTGCTTTTGGCATTTTCATTATGAAATCTTTGCCTATGTGTGAATGGTATCAGCTAGATTTTCTTCTAGGGTTTTTATAGTTGTGAGTTTTACATTAAAGTCTTTAATCCATCTTGACTGAATGTTTGTATACGGAAGGGAGCCAGTTCTCTCAGCACCATTTATTAAATAGGGAATCCCTGACCCATTGCTTGTTTTGTCAGATTTGTCGAAGATGGTTGTAGGTGTGCAGTCTTATTTCTCAGTTCTCTATTCTGTTACATTGGTCTATGTGCCAGTACCATGCTGTTTTGGTTAGTGTAGCCTTGAAGTATAGTTTGAAGTCACGTGGGCATGACGCCTGTAATTTTGTTCTTTTTCCTTAGGATTGTCTTGGTTATATGGGCCTTTTGGCTCCATATGAATTTTAAAAGTTTTTTTCTAATTCTGTGAAGAATTGTGAATAGTTTTTTGTTCTTCTTGAGACAGCGTCTCACTCTGTCACCCAGGCTGGAGTGCAGTGGCATGATCTTGGCTCCCTGCAACCTCTGCCTCCCAGGTCCAAGTGATTCTCCTGCCTCAGCCTCATTACAGGCATGCACCACCACACCTAGCTAATTTTTGGATTTTTAGAGATGGGGTTTTACCATAGTGGTCAGGCTGGTCTTGACCTCCTGATCTGCCTGCTTCACCCTCCCAAAGTGCTGGGATAACAGGTGTGAATGGTAGTTTAATAGGAATAGCATTAAATCTGTTAATTACATTGGGAAGTATGGCCATTTTCATGATACTGATTCTTCCTATGAGCATGGAATGCTTTTCCATCTGTTTGTGTCCTCTTTTATTTCCTTAAGCAGTGGTTTGTAGTTCTCCTTAGGTGTATTCCTAGGTATTTTATTCTCTTTGTAGCGGTTGTGACTTGGAGTTTATTCGTGATTTGGGTCTTTGCTTTTTGTATAGGAATGCTAGCAATTTTTGCCCATTAATTTTGTAGCCTGACATGATTCTAGCTATAGAATCATGTCGTCATCATTGGAGTTGTTGTTTAATAAGTGTGCTGAAGCAGCAGCATAGGGACCTATGAGAGTGGATAGTTGAGTGGGAAGAGGATGGTTCTGGGGTGCTGTGCTACCCACGTGCCCCTCTTATGTAACTGTGTCTCTGACTCGACTTTCTGAGTCAAGGGTGGCACTGGCTTATGGAGCAGCTGGAACAGCAAGGGCTTTGACCAGTGGGATGGGTACTAGCTGTAGCACACTGGGACCTGTGGTTACCAGTGCCTGGAGTTCATGTTTTGTGAGGGGAATACAGCACCTGGGGTGGGGATGCCAGGCCTGTGTTACACTTACTTCTGCCATGCTACCCAGATGGAGGCAGGGTAGTGATAAGGATCTCCATGAGGCTGACCTCATGGTGACATGAGGATGTGCTTTGTCATAGAGTCCATTCCTCGTGATCACGAGGCCTGCTGTCAGGTTCCTGTTGGGTGTGACGTGACCCTCAGCGTCCCTGGACCTCCTGCTTCCTAATGCCACATTAGACCCTTGTCAGCTAGTCATATCAGTTCCTTGGTGCTGCCTCAGGGACTGTAGTTTTTGAGAGGAAGGGGTGGCGTTTTGAAGCCTAGACCTAGGGTGGAAGGATGGGTCTACCCCATAAATCCTGTCACTAAACTGCAATGCCTCTAGGACAAAAGCCCTGGTTCCTTCCTCTGTGTCCAGGCCCTGGGGACACAGAGGAGACACTTACTTAGAAGTGCTGTGCTGGGTGGACTCTGGCTGTGAATTCTAAGTTTCCTCTCATCTGTGTTCCCAGGAGCAGGAGAAGGAGGCCCGGAGCAGGGCGGCCTACATCTCTGCACTCCCCACATCTCCACATTGGGGGAGGGGCTTTGATGAAGACAAGGATGAAGATGAAGGCTCTCCGGGGGGTTGCAATCCTGCAGGTGGCAATGGTGGTGACTTCCACAGACTAGTCTTCTGATGTGAACCTGCTGCCAGCCTGTTCCTGCCACCCGTTCCCTCCAGGAGCAAGGTGGGGTCTGAGAGGGAGGCAGGCCCACTCCTGTAGTAGGCCCTACCAAGAGTAAGCATGGTACAGGGATCTCATGGGATGTTACTCCTCAGCCTGAAGGGTAAACAGAGGGTCTCAGCTATGGAAATGAGACTTAAGACCCTTAAAGATTTTGCACCCAAGTGTCCTGGTTAACTTGAAGCACCTGAGCTGGGCACACATGGGTCTTTGCCTTCCCAGCAGGCCCTCCATGCTGGACTATCTGACATCAAGCAGCATTATCCTTCTGACTGCTCTATAACATAAAGCACAGCAGGACCCAAGCCTTGCACCAAGAAGGGGGTGTGTCACCTCCCCTGGCTGTTTTCTTGTATGGGGGTGCCTACACTGTCTATATAAGATCAGGTGGTGAAAAAGCAGGGCCCAGGATTACAGACAGAATCTGTCCCCCATACCAAGCACCCATGCATGGTGGGGGGGCTAGCTACTCACCGTGGGAGGCCTTTGCCCCCACATTCCCTCCACCTGCCTCAGTGCCTGAGATGCCACCACTTGCATCCCCCTTCTGGTTAAGGTAAAGGTAGAGTCCTTACTTAACTGCAAAGAGGTCTGTGTTCCTCATGAAGTGTGGGGTCTTCTCCTCATCTGGCCTTTGCAGCTACAAGAACAGCCGCCTGAGGGTTGGGTAAAGTGCCCTGACACTTCTGTAGTCCCTGCTAATGGGAGAGAAGATACACATGTTCTTAAATAAAACTACATTCTCTGAAGCTCAGCAAGAGGTGGTTCTTCCCGGGTCTCAGTGGCTGTGATGGCCATTGTACCCTGGGTTTTCTCACTAGGTCTGGGCAGGCTGACCAGTGGTGAGGTGAGGATACAGGCTGCGTTATGCCTGTAGAGAAGACTCACCTGGGAGGCAGCTCCCAAGCCTGCACCTCTAGCTCCTTCCCCAGGGACTGCCCGCTGTGCTGGAGAAGGGGAGTTTGGGCCCAATGTCACACCTAAGTGACCTGTGAAAGAAGTTAGTCTACAGATGGGTTCTGGGCGTGTCTACTAAGAAGGAAGGAGGCGATTCTGAAGTATAGAGCATTCATTCTTATCCCCAGCCAAGAAAAATACCCAATTATTTCCTAATAAAGTGAAAATGGAGCAGACTCGAGTGAGAACAAGTTCCAGCACCAAGCCCCTCCAGACAAGACGGACACAGCAGCTGGTTCTGGGGTGCATTTCTAGTGGACTTTATTGTCCTGCTCCAACACCACAGTCGAAAGGGACCTGCAAGCTCCAGGCCTGTACCATGTGTCACCACAGCAAAAACATGACCCACTTGAACACACTCCTGCCCCACCCACCCACAGGATAAATATGTTACAAACAGAATAAATTAATAACTTAAGTGATTAGGCACCAACAGTGATTTGAAAATTAAATGTCAATTTTAAATGGTGACAAGACAAGAACTCAATACTGGGCTTCCACTAGCCCATTTCTCTTCCTGACAAATAGTGACAATTCTGCACGAAATAATTCTACATTTCAAGACACAAGTAGCCAACAAATACACAACACATGCCACCAGAAATCACACGAGTCTGGATCTCTGGGGGACCCCCTCAGCAGGTAGCTCCTCATGGTCCCAGGCCCTAAAGAGCAGGGTGAGTCCCAGAAAGACAACCCCCAAGGAAGGGCTTTAGACCTCCTGAGGCCAGCCTGGCTTCCCCTGAATTTTACAGACAAAGGCCAAGATGGGGAAGAAAGAGCTCTGGAAATGGGGCGGGGGGATGCTGGGCCAAGATGGCCCCGTGGTAAAAGGGGCCAGAGGGGAGATGAGCTGAGCCTATGCTCCAGTAACTTCAGAATGGTTGTGCTTTAGTCCTAGGAATGGGGCATATTTTAATGGTTTCCAATGTAGAAGTGACCAAACTCAAGCTAGGAGGGGACTAGGGACTGCCCACCCCTGGCCATCCAGATCCTCCAGAAGTTACAGAACAGGGAGTCTCCCCTTCAAGCAGCTGAGCAGCAGCTGTGGATGGGACCTGAGTGCATCTAATCCAACCTCCCATTCCAAAGACACACAGATCAAGGACCTAAGGAAACACCATCTCCTTATTTCTCATTGTTCTCACTCGACTTAACCTTTCTGAAGTGGGTAAAGGCAGCTCCTTGGAGAGCCTCAGGCAGGACGAGTCCTGTGAAGCAGTGCTGGGTGGTAAGGTATCCCCCTACCGGGGTCTCAGTCCTCACCAAGCCCTCAGGAGAAGTGGACTATGAGCCATGGACAGGCCAAAGGAGTCAACTGAGATGACTCCTTTGTCAGGGGAGGTAGTAGGTGGAGGGTGGGGACAGGCCAAACATGGCTTGTAGTCTGGGGCTTGTGAGCCAGAGCTTTGCTTTAAAAAGGTCAGCTTTACCTCTCATCCTTCCATCTCTGCCTCTACACTTCCACCCAAGGGATTTCGGTAGTTACCAGAATCAGGAGTTGAAAGGAGGCCTCCTGGGAGATTCGATTTGAACACCTCAGTCGCTCTCTGAAGACTCCAGCCAGGTCCACTCACATCATGGCACACTCAGAACATGCTCACATTTTATGGGAGACTGCTGGGCTGTCAACTGAGGGCATCAATAGTCTGGGCCCACTTGTGGCTGCTGTGGGTACAGGGAAGGCACCAGTTAAAAGCTCTGTCATATGGGGCCCCTTGTAGAGGCCTTAAAGGCACACATTCAGGGCCGGGCACAGTAAACCAGCACCCTGCCAACTCTGCCCAGTGTAGCCACTGCGACTGCTACCATTTCACCTGATGGAACACTGAGGCATGGCCCTGGCACTTCTGAGTGGCTGGACCCATACGCCCAAAGGCCTCGTGTTCCCAAGACACAAGGCTTTCCAAGCCCCTCTGTCCTCCTTCCTCCACTGGACCCAAACCCTGCTCTTCTCCTCTGTAAGAATCTGACTCATCCCCTTCTCAGAACTACTTCAGGCACGCCCTTTTCCTAGAATCCACCTTCCCTGATTGTGACCCCACTCCTGCCTCTGGCCCCAACCTCCCTAAGCTTGTCTTCCTCTGTACTCCATCAGCATTTTAAGTCTCTGTATAATGGCCGTCACCACTGTCTCATGTCCTCCTCCTTTTTCTCACTGATTGTGACTATCTCCAGTTCAGGGATACAGTCTGATTGATTCTTGTGTCCTTGGTGTCTAAGCACAGAGACTGGACACAGCAACCATTAATAAATGCTCCTTGAGTTGATCTGAACTAATGCTAAGAGAAGAGGTCCAACTCTTGAGGAAGTAACTTCTTCCAGGATGGAACTTGGAGAACGGCTAGGCCATCGGCCTAGAGGACAGATGAGCTGAGCTGAGAAAACATTGGGCCGGCATCAGGCAAGACTCGTTCCTGCCCTGCAACCTGGCATATGCCACAGCCCATGGGCACAAACCGTCAGCCATGCCCCATGTGGTCCTCTAGGCATCATTCTGCCCTGCTTTCTCCTTGTCCTGCCTGACCTGCTATCCCTCCATCCTGGGAACAGTCCTCATGTCGTATCACCATGCACAAGTCACTCCTTCACTTTTTGCTCCACTCTAAACTCCCACACATTGCCTTGGCCACTCCCCAACTTCCAGGCCCTTTGGATGTATTTCCCCACTTGCTACATGGCCTTCACCCCCGCTTCACATCCCTCTGCTACCTCTGAGCCCAACTTCCACTGTGCTGCTCACCGCATAGAAACTCACTGCCCCACTCCACTGCAGAGTCCCCTGCACTGCCCTGTGCCTCTGCCCAGCCTGTGCTTGTCACAGGGTTCCCCTCAGTCTCTGAATCAACCCCATCCACGCCACACTCCCTCCCACATTCCCCACCCCTTCACCATGCATTCCTGCCCCATATGCTTGGTTGCCCAGCTTTGTCCAAGCCTTCCCCTGTGCAGTGCTCTCAAGGTGGGGTTGGTGGGGGCCTCTGAGGGGGTTGGGGAAGAGGACTTCCCTTGGGCCTAGAGTGGCCTGTATAGCTCCAAAGTTCTGGGGGCCCTGACCCCCCAGTGTCCTCATCCTCTCCACCACCTAGCTCCAATCCCTGCTTCTTGCTGTTCTGGGTTGGCCATCACCAGTTTTCCCTTCCTTTTGCCCTTCATCCTCTGCCTCTGCACCCCACAGCAGCTCTCCTGCCATGGCCTCAGCCTGAAAGTGGGATGTCCCTGCAGATGTGAGCTTTCCCTCTGCATCCCTCAAGACCACCGCTGGCCCTCCTTTTCCAACATCTCATCTTTTAGTGGCTTTGCTTCTCTCCTGCCAAGAAAAACAGGAATGAAAAAGTCCATTATCCACTTTGGTCTGCTGGTCCTTGACTCCCTGGGTTGGTGAGACCTGTCTTCTGGGACTGAGGAGAGGTAGCCCAGGGGCCGGAGGGAAGATAGCTGAGGGTTGTAACTGAACATGAGGTGTGGAATCTGGCTCAGAGCCCCAGCCCTTCCCTCTAAACGGCTGGTAATCACATCTAAAGGACAGGAAGAGGCTGAAGGATGCTTTTTGGCAACAGCTCCTAACTAAGGTGGGTGGAGGCATGGCCATTAATGATAAAAAATCACAGGTGGGCCCCGAGTGGGCAGAGGACGTGCCTTGATCAGGCCCTCACCTCCCTGGGGAAGGGTTCAGGGTCCCTGATGTCAAGTGCTTTGAAGGCTGAGACTGGCAGAGTAGAGAGGAGGTGGGTGGGAGGGACAATGGGAGAGGGGACAGGGGAAAGGAGATAGGAAGGGCCAGCTCTGCAGTGGCCCTCTGGTCACAGCTTGGCGCCCTTGGAGGGCTCCGAGGACTGCCGCACGTCTGTCCACTCCTGCATGGTGTTCTGAAGGGCTTGGGTCTTCTCCTTGTCCACCTGAACATAGTCCACCTTCTCATCAGAAGTGACAGATGAAGTAGATGGCTGAGGGGACAGAGTGGGAGACAAAGAGTAGCTGTGAGTTAACAGTTAGGTGGGGAGGAAGAAGACAGATTCAAGATCTTCCCCAGCTGTCTGAAGGAGAGAAGTGCATGGCCTCTGCCTGCCAAGGACCAGCCTCAGGAGCCTAGCTTCTCTTTTTGATGTGGGCTTTAGAGCTCAGACTCCAGACTCCTTCCTGCAGGATACAGCAGCCCCTGCCAGCCCTTCTTACTTCCCAGCTCCTGGGAGGACTCAGGCCCTTTCTTGGGTCCAGGCCTTCATTTCTGCCTCCACCCATCTCCATCTGGTTACTCATCCAGAGAAAGGAATTTGCTGGGTGCAAATAAGCATCAGCCACAGGACTTTACGTGCTGCCCTCACCACCACCCTGTGAGGGGGAACCACACTGAGGCAGAGCTCTGCACCCTGCAGAGTCCCCTGCACTGCTTAGGCTAAGGGTGCCTCCTGGGGAGGCTTTCCCAGGCCTGGAAGTCCTTTCTGAAGGCTGATGTATATACAGCAGGGCTCTGGGACCCACCCAAGAGCCCAGGATGAGAAGGCAGTATCCTCATTCCTGGATCTCTTGCTGATTCACTTTGTAACCTTAGGCCAATTGGATCTCTGTGCACTCATCTGCCCATCTCAACAACAAGGGGGTTGGGCTGACTAATGAAGTTCTTTGAGGGTACTGTGCTCTGAGAGCAGGAATGGGAGTCTTTAGACCTAGATGAAAGCTTTATGACTAAAGATGTGTCATAAAAGCTGGGTACTGGAGCGGGAGGGCGGCTGAGTGCTGCTGTTCAGTGTTGAAGGCGCCCTGGCCTCCATGATCTCTGCCCCCAGGTGCCTGA